CGGACACCATGAATAAGTGGAGAATTCCCACAGTGCCCCAGTGCCACAGTCCACAGTGTCTGCAGCAGCCTATAGCAAGAAGCCTTTCTCTCCTGAGTCAACTCAGCAAGTCCCTGATCCTACTAGGTAGAGGGTTGAAAACTAGGCATCCCAAATACCCCCTTAGGGGATCCCCGACTGCCATAGGGCTACTTTACTCTCTTAAGGATCCCCTGATACGGGAACTAATTTGAATCAAGACTTCAAACATGCTAGAAATGGAACCCTGGTAGAGTGTCTGCATTGTAAGACCTTAGTTCTATTGGTACAGTTCTGAGTGCTCTGTTCCACTGAGAAAAAAGTATCACCTTCGCAAAGATAGCTGCAGTGGCCAGTCAAGTTGTGTGATAATTAGTAGTAAGGAATTAAGGGCTATCTCACTGTTTTTTAACTTGAAAACTTAAAGTGGGTTAAACTTTTTAAACTTAAAACCACTAGGTAGCTCCTCAATCTGTTACAGTGGGTATTATAAAAAGAGATGAACTGGGTGTGGTGGCACACAAATACAAACCAAGCTGCTTGGGAGGCTGGTATAGAAGGATACCAAGTTCAAGGCTAGCCAAACAACATGAGCGAGACTGTCCCCACCACACACACTGGGACTGAACTCGGGCCCTTTTCACTGAGTTACATCTCTAGCCCTTTTTTGAGACAGCATCTCACAAAATCGCCCAGACTAGGCTTCAACTTGCGATCCTCCTGCCTCAGCCCTCCCAGATGGTGGAATTACAGGGTGTGCCACCATGCCTGACCAAGGCTTAAAAATAAAAAGGGCTGGGGGTGTTGCTCAGAGGTAGAACACCCCTGGGTTCAACCCTCAGTACACTACCACCCCAAAAAGATAAGTGCTGGTGAGAAAGGATATGGACAAAAGGAAACCTTTGTACTCTGTTGGCTGGAATGTAAATTAATCTGCCATACAATTACCATGTTATTCAGCAATCCTACTCCAAAGAAAATGAAGTCAGTAAGAGTAATCATGTATGGAATTAACCTAAATGTTCATTGACAGATGAATGAATTAAATACACATACACACACACACACACACACACACACACACACACAAATACTATTCAGCTATAAAAAAGAAGGAAATCCTGTCATCTGTGACAGTGTACGTGAACCTAGGGAACATAATGTTAAGCAAAATAAGCTACATGTGGAAAGGCACATACCTCAGGATCTCACTTGTATGTGGAATCTAAAAAGTCTCATCTCAGAAGCAGAAAGAGAATGGTGATCGGTGGGGGGCTAGGGTCATCACAAGGAAATGTTGGTCAGCAAATACAAAATTTCAATTAGCATGGAGGAATAAGTTAAAAAAAATCTATCTTACAACCTGATGGCTATAATTAATAATTTTTTTATTGTTGTTTTGAGATAGGGTCTTGTTATGCAGTTCAATCACCACCAGGCTGGTGTCCAACTCACAGAAATGCTCCTGTTTCAGACTCCCTGGTGCTGGGATTATAGGAGTGCACCTGTAAGAGAGTGTATTTTGGAAATCAAAAAGAATACATTTTGTCTTTTCACCAAACACACAAAAATTGTGAGATAACAATAACCTAATTAGCTCCATTGGGCCACATGTTAGCTTTCTGTGTCTGACAAAATTCCTGAGAAAAACAACTTAAATTTTATTTTGACTCACAGTTTTAAAGGTTTTGTTACCACGTGGTGAATCCAACCAAGTTCTTTTGCATGGCAGGCAAAGGATTGTGAAGCGTACACTCAGTGGAGAGGGAAAAGCAGCTACATTTACAAAAGGTTATAAACAGAGAAATGGTGTGGGATGACAGAAAGGGCACACTACATGCTGTGCAGATAAATCAGGCTCTTGAGCAAGAGGGGCAGAAAAAGAGACCGCATGTGCTGCGGTCTGCGGTTGTGTGGAATGCTCCTTGGTGTCCAAGCCTTCAGGATGTGGTTTTGGGGACCTTTAAGACGCGAGCCAAGGGCTGAGGGTGTAGCTCAGTGGTACAGTGCTTGCCTAACATGTGAGGCCCTGGGTTGGATCCTCAGCCCTGAAAAAACAATCCAAGTGATTCCACGGTATACACATGTTTCAGAACCTCACACTGCACATGCTCAACATATTTGTCAATTACAAATAAACTACATAGAATTAGTATAAAATGCTTTAACTATTTTACATTTTCTTGTTATTAAAACAGCAATAAGTGGCAACTTCCTGGGACCTTTATTGACCAGTATTCTACCGTTAGTGTTTGGTCCTTGCTTGTTTAACATAGTTGTAAAGTAAAGCATAAGCATCAGTGACTTGCAGTTGTCAACAAAAGCTCTATTTCTTTTTTTTTTTTTTTAATAAAGAAAAGAGGTTTATTTAGGTCACAATTTTGAAGGCTGAAATTCTAAACACCGTGGCATCCAGTGTGGAGTAGGCACTGTTGACCATACCACATTATGGCAGGTAGTGTCATGGTGGACATGGATGTGAGGGGAAAGCTCACTACAGGAAGCCATAGAGCAGGAAGGGCTCAGGCTCATTCTGACGAGGATCCGGTAAAAACTACATTAATTACGTAATCACCTTTCACTAGGCGCCTCTCATAGTAAAGGTTCCACACCACCTTCCAGCATTGCCATACTGAGAGTCACAGTTCCAACACATGAATGCTTGGGGGAAGACGTGCAGACCATACGTAAACCACAGTATCACTAACATCTTGGCCTTGGGAGTCTTTTTTTTTTTTTTTAAATTTTAAAGAGAGTAGTACATGAGAAACACACAAAGAAATGGAACAGTAGCAGCAGATCAGTATCTCAAATGTATCTATGCCTCCTTTTGATCAGTCAGAGCGAAACTTTTGATCCCTGAGTAGGCAAGGTCAGCACCCCCTGAGAAGCAGCTACAGAAAACAGATTCTGGGGCTTTCTGCATCCCTAAGAATAGAGGTTAAAGTCTTGGGATGGGAAATGTGGTAAGACAGAAGAAATATTTTAAAATTGTACTAAGAAGACTACAACTCCATGATGCAAAGTTACCTAAGGCCCTGCACGTGTGTAGCCCCTGGATTTGTTTATGCTGCTGTTATTCCAGGCCCATTGCCCCCAAATCCTGTAAAGATACTGTAAGCCCATAAATTAGCTTAGTTGATAACCTTAAGACAGAGAAACAAAGACTTCAAAAGACATTTTTAAGCAATCTAAAAAAAAAAAAATCGACGTGGCTCTGGTTTTCTCCTGTAAAATGGGCCAGCCTTTCTCATATGAAATGGGCTGGTATCTTTCTGTGGTAAACCTACAAATTCCACAGAGCTCCACCTCCAGAAACACACATGTATTCTCAGCTCCAAACTGCAGTGCACCTCTCTTGAAGGCCTGCACTCTATTTTATTTGAATGTGCACTTTAAATTCTGCCCAATAAATCCCTTTATATCTCTTAAAAATAAAATAAAATAAAGTGGGTTTTACATGCCTGCTGTCTGCCTTTCCTCTGTGAAACTATTTTCTGTCTTCCACAAGCTTTTGGGAAGTTTTAATTAAATATGTATTAAAGCATAAGACTTTATTTTGAAAAACTTTAAAATTCTTGTTTTTAATTAAATTCTGCACAGTACCTGAGCAGAGAATTAGCCTTTGAACATAAAAGGGATTAGATATGCTGTGTTTTCTTTCAGCACTAAAGTAAAATAAGAATATAATTTAGGTGTGAGTTGAATATTGTGCAAAGTCCCTTCATGCTGTTATGCCATTTTCTCCAAGTTGATGCTGGTAATAAGACAGGATTGCTTCTCTCCAACTTTGAAAGGATGCATTATGCTGTCAGCATACCGTGCTAATGCTTCTGCACCCACTCATCAGAGAGCAGGACAATATAGATGATACCCTGCATGCCATACCTGTGCTTCTGAGCCCTGGAACCCCACCTGAGAATGGGTAGGGGAGCCAGGTCTTGGCGCATGCCTGTAATCCCAGCACTTGGGTATCTAAGGCAGGAGGATTGCAGTAAGTTTGAGACCAGGCTGGGCTACAAAAGGGAGTTCATGGCGAGCCCTCACTACATAGCTAGACCTTGTCTCAAAAAAAAAAAAAAAAAAGAAAAGAAGAGAAGAGAAAATGGTTGGGGAAAACTAAAGGGTTAAAATCCTCAAAAATCTATTAAATATATTTGTGAGTTAAGATTTTAAGCCATTCAGAATTCTAAAAAGCCAGTGCCACAAAAAAAAGGAAAAGAAAGAAAAAAATAGAATAGAGCCAGGTGCTGAGGCAATCCATTTATAACCCTAGCACATAGGAGGCAGAGGCAGGAGAGTCACTTGAAATCAGGAGTCCCAGACCAGCCTCAGCAACATAACAAGATCATATCTGAAAATTCGGAAATAAAAAAAGATTAGTTACTGATGACAGTTGAAGATCTTTGCAAACTTTATTCAAATGATTATTATATCATAATCACAGTATAGAGTGAATGGCTTAAAGAAATACACTACAAACTTGTTTCTTAGGTGCCATTTGTTTCACAAGTTAAATTCTTGTGTAAAACTAACAGTAATAGCCGGGCGTGGTGGCGCACGCCTGTAATCCCAGCACTCAGGAGGCTGAGGCAGGAGAATTGTTGCGAGTTTGAGACCAGCTTGGGCTACAAAGTGAGCTCAAGGCCAGCCTGAACTGCATAGTGAGACCATGTCTCAAAAAGACAAAGAAAAGAAAAAAAAACTAACAGTAATATGAATTTAAAACACAAGATTTAATGTTAGATGTTTTTGTTATTATTTTTAACCTGAAAGAAATGTATTTCACATCTGAAACTAAAGAAGGAACAGAAGTAATTTTGTGGTATAAATGAAAAAGTTCTTTTGCAACTTTTGCACGTTTTACATGTTTCAGATGAATAGATTTAGCAAACTTTAGAAGAAAAGACTTATTTTAAAATTTACGTAATTATAAAATCTACTTGCCATAATAATTGTTTCACTTGGTTATTCTCTTTCAGGATTTACTGACCAGACATAAAGTGTTGGTAGCAGACTTCTTAGAACAAAATTATGACACTGTAAGTAGAAACCATTTTTAAGACTTTATCTTTTCTGTCTTCTTCTCCCTCTCTTAGATCTTTGGGGAGTTGCCCCTCTCTGTTATCCACAAGTGAATTCACCCATACTCAACCATACCTCTGGTTGGTTTATGGAAAATTGAGGCTATAACAGGTCAGGATTTTGTCATTTTTCATGTCTCTTCCTTTTGTGCTGTAGAGAGCCAATAAATGATCACTACCTGCTTACCTTGATCCTGAGTTAAGAAAACCTGAGGTGGGCATAGGGGTATACACCTTTAGTCCTACCATAGGAGAGGCTGAGGCAGGAAGATTGATGTAAGTTCAAGGCCAGCCCAGGCTACATAGTGAGTTCAAGACAAGCCTGAACTACATAGCAAGACCCTGTCTCAAAACACAAAAGAAAAACCAGGAGCTGGGACTGGAGCTCAGTGGTAGCACGTGCCTACCTAGCATGCACACGGCCCCTGGTCTGAACCCGGCACTACAAGAAGGAAAAGAATGGCTGTGTTGCTCTTGAGGGGCAGGGGGTAACCCAGTCGAAGCACGTTTTACCTTGACCGAATTTTACTTAGCTGACAATTGCTCTTGGAAATACCACTGTCTTTCAGTCCCCTTCTTTAAAGATGAATCCAACTCATCCTTTGGGTATTTGGCTAAAATACCACTTTTCAAGGAAGCTTCCCCTAACCCCATCCTTCCCCAAACACTCGCGCTCTCATTTTTCACTTTACTTTTTTGAGACAGGGTTTCAGAAATGGGGAATTAGCCATGTGTATTTGCATTTTATAGTTATAATGAAAATGTATCACAGTTTATTATTTGTCTGATAAATTTAATGATCCACAAAAGTCCCCCTTGTATCTGAGGACAGAATAAATGTCATTTTTTTTTTTTTTCCTGGTACTGGGAATCAAACTCATGACCTTGCACTTGCCAGGCAGGCGCTGATAAATGTCCTTCTTATAACAGAATGTAATAATGTGACTTTAATAAGAGCTTTTTTATTTTTTTTACTTTTCTTTTTCTGAGATGGGCTCTTGTTGTGTTGCCTGCCCTGGCCTCAAATTCAGGTACTCAAATGATCTTCCTGCCTCAGCCTCCCAAGTGGCTGGGACTACAGGCATCCTCCAGCACTCATGGCCCACTCTCTTCATTTTTTTATCAGTAGTTATCACGGGTATGCTGCCCTTGCTGTCATACGCAGCTGCACACACACCCCTCTCCTTGAGTTCTCAGGCTGCGACTGCCTAGCGTCCTCTGCTTCCTGAGTTTTCTTGCCCTCATCCCGCCCTTGCTCCTCCATTGCTCTGTGGGCAACGTGCCCATGGGTGGCAGAAGGCAGACGCGGAGTTTCTCAGCCGCCACACTTTGTGGTGAGCTGAAGGACTCCACCAGGACTGATGACCGAGTTAGGACGCAGCAGGCCCTGTGTACCGGGGTCTGTGGCTTCTGTGAGTACAGGACTCCAGAGAGGCCAGTGGGTTAGGCTGGGCACCAGGCAGCCCCTGTGACCTCATGCCTCATCCGGTCACACCATGAACTTGGCAGCCGAACCCTTTATGGGTCACCAAGTGAAGCCCTGAGTGTATTTAGTATTTTGCCAAGTTGTTTGTGGGCCCATAGCTGCATAAACAGACTTCTTTAAAGATGGCATGGGGTAAGTTATTCTTGCAGTTTTTAATAGATGGCTTATCGGAATGATTTGGGAGAATCAAAATGATACAGTGTTTTTGCTCAATTTCTGACTTATAGAACTAAAATTATTAGAGACATGCGTCTCCTGTCTCCCTTGGTCTCCGCGTCCCACAGTGTCTTAGCAGAGGTGAATGGGGACAACAAGACCTCCTCAGTCCAGGTGACAGAGCTGCTCTTGCTAAGTGTCCTGCTGCTCCTATGTGCTGATATTTCTTTTATTTTCATTAGATTTTCGAGGACTATGAGAAATTGCTACAGTCTGAGAATTATGTGACGAAGAGACAATCTTTAAAGGTAATACCAAATTTGCTTTAAGTTAGAGACCCTGTAAGTTGGTAACTTGCTGGGGAATAGTATCTACCAGTCAGCAAGTAAAGAGAACAACTGAAGTATCCTTTTTGTCACTGGAGGAGTATGTTTTATGATATAACTGTACTTTATAGGAAAAAAAAAAAATATATATATATATAGGAAAACAGTGGAAACACCTTGCCTCAAGCATTTTTTGGAAGGCAAAGATAGGCCTGGCATTTTATTTTATTTATTTATTTAATTTTATGGAAAAAATTAAAACAAAATTTCATAACAAAATAAGAGGAGAATAACAATAGTTAATACATTGCAAGTTGTCGTCTTTAAGGTAGTTGCTTAGGGTGTAAGATATGGGTGTAAAGATTCCTCCAATCAATATTAGCACAGCATTCCTTTTTAATGCACTAAGAGACACCCATCCTAGTTCCTTTTTCCTTTTGAATAGTTCTTCCCATTTCACAATAGGGCCTGGCATTTTTGTTTGTTTGTTTGTTTGTTTTTTTCCCCTGGTACCGGCAATCGAACTCACGACCTTGCGCTTGCCAGGCGGGTGTTGTGCTGCTGAGCTAAATCCCCAGCCCCGTGCCTCGCATTTTTGATCTCTAGTTTTCAAGGCTGATTATTTTCCAGTGAGGTCCTATCACAGGGAGAAGCTGCAATGTCTGCAAGTCCTCCCCAGTTAGTTGGCTTTTGAGCTGAGGCCTAAACTTGTAAAAAACTAAAATGAATCTGAATAAGATTATGTGTGTGTGCGCACACGTGTGTACATGTACACATGCCCACGAGTGTGTAAAATCAAGGCATTTGCTATTTGAAATCATGTCCCCAGTGAAATACTGGCAGCAGCATCTGGGAACCCGAAGGAGCAAGGCCCTGTGTGTCGCGGTGCCTGCTGCCCTGTGGAGGGGCCGGAACACAGTATCTGGGCACAGGGAGCTGGGCGTGGGCGTGGGCGTGGGTGTGGGCTAGGGTTAGCCCTGCACATCCACCCAGATATTCAAAAGTGTTTCTGGCAGACAATAAAACTGACTGTTTTTAGTCAAGTAGTTTGTAAGATGTTCCAGCTCACTGAATAGCATACTTGTATTATTTTTATATATCATGATAATGACATTCACAGGACAAAGGATTTGTTTTTAAATATGGAATACAATTTTAAACTAAGGCAATAAATTAAATGTTTTGTGCTTTTTTTTTTTTTTCTTTTTTTTGAGACAGGGTCTTACTGTATAGTTCAGCCTGGCCTTAAACCCACTATGTAGCCTGGCTGGCCTTGAACTTGCTGCGATCTCCTGCCTCAGCCTCCCCAGTGCTGAGATTACTGGCATGCACATCCCCCCCAGCTGTTTGACATTTTTAACGCACTTTAACTGTGGTGACTGGCCTCAGCACGGCCTGCACTCCTCACTGGTCCGGCTTCCCTTATTAATGGATAGGTCTATTTCCAGCCTGTCAGTCAGCGCTCTTTATTGAGTCAGAAACTCACGCAAGCTGATCCATGTGGAGAAGAAATCCCACAGTGCGCTGGAGCTTGTGACGAGACAGCGGTGCACGGTACTGACCTGCTTGCAGACTGGAGCCTCAGTCCTGCCCTCCCTCCTGTGGAGAGCTTGCTGAAGCAGACAGGGATGCACACATATCCCGTGGCCACAGCTGTGTGCCTAAGGAACAGTTATGCCTGAGGGACCCTCAAGAACAGCCAGAACAGGGGGAGCTTATCTGTCACAAGGGGCGGTGGCCCTGGAGGGGAGGTGGCATTGGAATAGTAAACAGAGGTAACGAAGGCGTAAAGGGCCAGTGTGTAAAAAATGGCTGGTACACTTTCCACACACCTCTTTTCAGTGGGAGGCTGTCAGACACTGGGCCGTAGTGGAGAGATTCGGATGAAGTGAGGTAACTAAAGCAAGTTAGGAGGAAGAAAGCTGAAGCCTGCGTCTTTAGAATTTGTCCTTGTACCATGGTTAGCAGTGACAAGAACAGGAATAGAGTTTTGCTGTGCTTGACTTTCTCTGGGACCTTAGACAGAGTCACAGAACTGACAGTTAGGTGCTTCTTAGTTGATCATCTCCCTTCCCCGCCATCCTACCTTTTCTTTCCTACTGGCCTAGCATTGCCTCTGTGCAGTCTGCCTGCCTCGGGTCTTTTGTCTGGGTGTCTTTTTACCTTTTGTCCTTTGTCTGCATGACTCAACCCACGTTGTCCTTGTCTCCTTCCCTTCTAAAGCGGGCTGGGCAGAGTCTCACTTTTTTGCTGACAGTGATCCCAGGCTCAGGCACACTGGTCAAGCACTGTACCCTGAGCTGTGCTGCCAGCTCAGAACTGTAATTTATTAAATAAATCAAATTAAATTTTACAAGTAAGTATTCCCTGTCACTATCCCCAGAACTCATTATCCCCAGAGTTCTATCTCTGGAAGGACTGATATCTTCTAAATAAACAGAGACTAGAGTATGAGTGAAACTTGTTCCTGCCAGCTTGCAATTGCAGTCACACCTACCACACTGGCCGCCTTTCCTGAATAAAATCCTGCAGTTAAATGTCTCACACATTTGTTTACAGTGTGGTAAAACTAAGCACTGGTCAGACAGTGAAAAAACAAAAACACCTGACAAAAGCCAAATAAAGCATGTATAAGAAGTTAACAGTGTTTTGGAACTCTTTATAAAGAGTTGGCTTTTTTCAATACGAGATGATAGGCAGAGATGTTGCTAAAACGATTTGTGTCAATCCTCTTTGGGGAATAGAAAGATAGACGTGTGTGTAGTGGTCCACATTAACACTGAGCTCATCAAATATGGTCTGTTTCTTTGATAGAAAAATGTTATGGGAAGCTCCACTGAAGCCATTTTGCTTTTTCCTTTTGAAAATTAGATCTGTGGTAGCGGTATATTCTATTCTGACAGAACCATATTTGCATTTATGAATTCTGTGAAGTTTTGTACACAGATTTTTTTTTTGCAATTGTAGAACCCGAGAGGTTAGATATTATAATAGTAAATGACTTTGTACATAATCAATTGCCTTAAGAACTATGTTATTTTCCTTTTTCTATTTGCATTTTTAAAATTTTATTGATGCATTTTAGATACACATAATAATCACATTCATCATAAGGAATTTGTACCCATGCATCATAAATCTTGATTCTCCTTTTGTTTCTCCATTCCCCTACCCTCCCTTTAGCCCGCTTCTCCTCTTCATTTACAAAAGCTTTGTTTCCATTTTTTCCTTCTATTCTTTTTTCTTCTTGTTACTTCTTTCCTTTCCCTTCTCCTTGTTAGCCTTGTCATTTAAACATTTGCTTCCCATTTTCCAATATCTATTATACACTGTCATCCTTATTTACACTTTTAGTTTCTCACACCAGAAAAACCATGTGTTATTTACATATGCGTGTCCAATTTATTTCACTTAAGAGTATGGTCTCAAGGTGCATATATTTAGCTAGAAATGTCTCAAGCTTATCTTTCTTTACGGCAGAATAGTACCCCATTGTATAAAAAAGCCATCTTGTTTATTCATTCATTGATTGATGGATATTTGAGCTGTTTCCAAGATTTAGCTATTACAAACCATGCCACTAACAACATGGATGTGTGTGTATTGCTGTGGTATGATGCTTTTAATTCTTTCAGGAAGATACCACGAAAGGGAATAGCTAGGTCGAATGGAACCTCTAGTCCTAGTTTTGTTTTGTTTTTTTTAGTCCTAGATTTTTGAGGAATCTCCACACTGATTTCCATAGAGGTGGCTCCAGTCTACACTCCTACTTCCAGTAGAAAAGGGCTCCTTTTCCCCTACAGCCCCACCAGCATTTGTTATTGGTTGATTTGTTGATGATAGCCATTCTTTCTGGAGTTAGATGGAATCTCAGTGTTGTTTTAATTTAGATTTCTCGAAAGACTAGTGATGTCGAACATTTTCTTATATATTTATTTACCATTTCTACTTCTTCATCTGAAAAGTATCTGTTCATTTCAGGTGCCCATTTTTGGATTGGGTCTTTAAATTTGGGGTTGTGATTTTTTTTTTAGTTTTTTTAATATATTTTAGATAGTAGTCCTTTGTTTGAGGAACAGCTGGCAAAAATTTTTTCCCATATTGTGGGTTGTGTCTCTTCACTCTGTTGGTGATTTCTTTCGCTATGCAAAAACTTTTTAATAAGATGAGATCCCAGCTGTAGATTCTTTGTGCTAGTTCCTGTACAATTGAGGCTTTGTTAATGAAGTCTTTGCCTACACCAATGTCTCCAAGAGTTTTACCTCTTCTAACTTTCAGCAGATTTAGTGCTTCTGTTTTAATATTTAGATCTTTGATCCACTTCAATTTTAGTTTAGTACATGGTGACAGATATGAATCTAGTTTTAATCTTTGGCATGTGGAAAGCCAGTTTTTCCAGCACCATTTATTAGAGGCTCTTTCTTCCAGTGAAGATGTTTGGCTCCTTTGTCAAAAATAAGGTGGCTGAGTATATTTGGAGTTATTTCTGCATTTTCTAATCTGTTCAATTGGTCCTCAGGTGTAGTCTTTTTGCCAGTACCATGCTGTTTTTATGCTATTTTCTGATGCCAAAGGTTTTGCTACCTGCTGGCTTTTGTTAATCATATTCTGAATTTTCCAGACTATCTTAATCATATTCTGAATTTTCCAGACATCTTGGTCCTCAGAATCCTGGTGTCAGTAAAAAGTAATTAACAGAGAAATTCCTTCCCCTCATGTGAGCTGTGTAGGAATTTCCTTCTTATCTTATTCAGAAGCCTGGCATTTAATTACTAGCAAGAAAGATTATAATTCAAAAGAAGCTGGATGGAATTCTTGACTCTGGTCAATTTCATTAAAACAGTAAGTTAAAAAAAACAACTCTGAGTTCCATTCACTGCCTGGTGTTACTACTACTATGAGGTATATAAAATAAAATTTAAATAATTAAAATGCAAATTTTTCCATATACTTACTATAATATTACTTTAATGCTTTGTACATTTTGTCGTCATTAGTGTTAATTAAAATAGACTAACAGTTAATGACCAAAATGCTCAGGGTTAATCAAGTTATTTAACATAATTAATTGTATAGATGTTTTGGTTTGTGTCTGCATGTCCTCCCAAAATCTCATGCAGTCATGGAGCAGGCTTCTAGATATTTGATTGACCCATAATCCAATGCTGGGATTATGGGTGTGAGTGTACACCGCCCTGGGGTGGGTAGTTTGCATATGTAAGGGAGAAAAAGAGGTTGCTTGCTGCCACGCCTCCCTTTTTGCTCCTGTTGATTTTGCTATCTTCAGCCCATGAACTTTGCCCTCTGCCATATGCCATTCTGCCTTGGAGCCAGCCAAGTATGGACTGAAACCTCCACAAACTATGAGCTAAATAAACCTTTCCTTCCTTAATTTTGTGTCAGGTATTTTCTCTCAGCAATGACAGGAAAGTAACTAAGACAGTAGGAAAAGCTGTGAAATTGTATGAGCAGAGAATAAATTGGGTAGAATCTGTAGGCATCTGCATATAATAAAAATTGAAGTCACTCATCTGGATTGAACTCATGAGTGTAACCTCAACAAATATCATTTCTATATATGTTTGTAAATTTTAAGGATAAATTAAAAAAAAATAAAAATCTTTTGGCCAAAACCTTTTGTTATGTCTATATGTGATATGTAGGCTCTTTAGTGATAGATAAATAGATACCTTTAGAAGCTAAATAATTCTCTTGCCAGCTTTACAGCTCAGAAGCTTTGAAGGTCAGGGAGCCTCCCTTTGACTTGTAAACATTCAAGGAGTAGCACTCCATCTCCGTGACCCCACGGAATTTGATGTAGGAACTTTCCTCTATAACCATTTGTTTGTCAGAGAGATAAAAGAAGTCATATTGCTATAGGGGAAAGAAACTCCCAACCTGAATATCTGGGACGCGTTTGTGTTCTCTAAAATCAAAGAATGAATTTTAGGAACAATGGAGGTTAAGAGCAGAATATATTTATGGAGGGCAAGAAAGCTTCTGTCTGTGAAAGAGACAGAAAGGGGGGCCCCTGAGTGGGTTGCCCAAAATTCTGTCATTTCACAGGGACTTTCATAGAGTAAAAACATGAGGTGAGGCAGGTCTAAGGTAGGGGAAAAATGGGAAATCAGTAGGTGGACATGAGGTGGGACAAAACTATGGTCAGCCAATAAGAATTTTTTAGGTAAAATTGGTTACATTGGGACCTAATGGGGAAGCCAGCCATGTAGGAAGTGGACATAAATACAGAACAGGGGCTTTTTCTGTAAGGGGTTGGGTCAGTGACTCTTCAAGGTGACGGCTATCTATTTAAAATATCAATCCCTGATGTCCATCCCTAGGGAGGTATGTGGGTGCATTTGTTTAGTCTTTTGTCCTGAGATCTGGCCTGCAGCAAACATGCCTCCATTTGCAAGGTATCTTGTCTTTTGTTTTGGCTCCTTCGAGGGCCTGGCCCTGTCTGCCTGCCTGTATTTCTGTCTACCTCAACTGCCTATAACAGTATTATCCAGATAAAGGCAATTTGCTTAAAAAAAAAAAAAAGGACAGACAAATTACCAAGTGAATTTACGTGAACTCTGAAGAATGCACAGGAATGGTGATATCAAGTCTTTTTAAAGGAAGTAGATTGTTGTTGTGGGGGGCTTTTTGTGATAGTCTCACTGTGTAGTTCAGGCTGGCCTCAAACTCATGGTGATCCTCCTGCCTCAGCCTCCTGAGTGCTGGGATTATAGGTGTGGGCCACCATGCCTGGCAGAGCAGGTTGCTTTTCATCTTGAAACCTTATTAGGCAGTGGACTGTAGTTGCTTGGCTGTACGCAGAGGTGAAGTTTTGCTTCTTTGAAATCTCTTTTTCACTGGTACACACAGTGTAATGCTTACTTAGTAATATAGCTGTGCTTTGCTTTTTCTCTGCCTTGTGTGATGGGGAAGAGCGCTGTTGGTAGTACACTCCCCAGTGACGTCCGTGCGCACACAGGTAGTTACGGGCGCTGACAGGAACCTTGCCCCTAGGCAGGTAGGAGATGAAGTGAGTATAAGTGGGAACAAATAAGGAGCACGGAAGCAGGTGAGGCAGGAGACTGGTGGTCAGGGGAAGAAGAGGCCTCCCTAACCACTCCTCCGAGCCAGACCCAGAGGGTGGGATGGTTTTGCAGGCAGACAATGGCAGTTACCTTGAAACCAAGAGCAGAAAGTTTCCAGAAGAGTGTGAAGTTACCTCTGTAGACTCCAGGGAGGTTACAGAGAATGAAGATTAACGATGTCATTACACTGGTGCTATTCTGTATGTACAATAACTAATGGCCAGCCAGTATCCGACAGCGGCTATCCTTTTTTCAGATACAGCAGCTGTTATTTTAGTGCACTAAACCTTCAAGTGTGTAGTCATTTGTTAGACAAAAGATGCCTCCTGGGCAAAGAGGGTCTTTGTGGAAGCTGCACATTGAAGTGCGCCTGTGCACACACATGCACCCGTACACACACCTCGGTTCTGTTGTGACAGAGCCCCCCCCAGCACGCTCTTCCCTCCCATCCAGGATTCCTGTAAACATCTGTGCAGTGTATTAGCATCCCGAGGTTCCCAGAGAAAGACCAGTAAATAGAGAACAGCAGAGAAGTGTGTCTTCCATAGGAAAGCTCATCCACCCGAGGCTGACTTTCGGGAACTGCCCCTGAACAGAAGTTCCCGAGACAGGGAGACCACGTGGCTTCCCCGTGCTTCTGGTCCCTCTTCAACTCTTTTCACTTCAGGCGCTGTCATTTTGTTTTAGAGTAATACTACATTTGGGGGATCTTTATTTTTGCCACCATAAAACGTTCTGCTTTACTTTCTCATAAAAACTTGATGCACTTGAAAAATTAGGATATTGATTCAGATTCAGATTTTTTCAGATTCACTGATTTTTTTTCCCCTGGCTTTATATCAGGTTTTATAATAAAAGTCCGGGGTAAGGTAAGAGTCGCTTAACATGAAACTGTTTGCACTAAACTCCTGCACGTTTGTTGGGAACAAAGGGACAATTGTAGAATCAATTTTGTTATTCCCATCGTATCCAAACATCTAAGATGCAGTACATTATTGGAAAACAAGATAATTAAATTAAGTGATGGAAAGTAATTTATTTCTGTGTCTTGGTGAGTTGCAGCAATGACTGGCTGGAAGAAAATGCTTTAAGCCTTGATGTTAGCAAAACCATGTGAAATAATAATTAGTGCTTTTATGCCTTTGTGTGTGTGTGTACATGTGTGCATGTGTGTGTGTGTGTGTGTGTGTGTGCATGTGTGTGCCTGGGTGGGGGGTATTGGTAGTTGAACCAGGGGCCTTTGCACTGAGCTGCATTCCCAGCCCTTTTTACATTTTTTATTCTGAGACAATCTCACTAAGTTGCTGAGTTCCTCACCCTGGGCTCAAATTTGTGATTCTCCTGCCTCAGCCTAGAATTACAGGCATGGACCACACGCCCAGCTCTACTTCTGTTTTTCAAGATGTACTTAATGACCATCATTTTTTCACAATACCATCACCATCCTCTATATTTTAGTCTTTAATGAAATATATTTGAATAAGGCAACTGTGAGACAGCTAATAGCTTTCACTCTGTTCTGTCCTGTAGCTGCTGGGTGAACTGATCCTGGACCGCCACAACTTTGCCATTATGACCAAGTACATCAGCAAGCCAGAGAACCTAAAGCTGATGATGAACCTCCTGCGAGATAAGAGTCCCAACATTCAGTTTGAAGCCTTTCATGTCTTTAAGGTAAAGAGCAGCCTAAAGAAATAATCTTGTGCATAGTTTTCATTTTTGTTGTTGTTATTTGTTTGGTTTTTCCAGTTTCAAGTGACAAGCGCCCTGCTTTCTACCCGCCTTCACAGAGAGAAAAGTAAATCAATCTTTTTGTTTTGCATGATTTAGATGAAATTTTAGAATAATTGTAATGAATTCTTGGTTCCGAACGATTTGCTAACTAATCCATATCTTTAAATATTGTTTTTCTAAAAAAAAATTTATTTATTGACTATATTCTTCTGCTAATCTAGTCACATATATCATTCCTTCAGTGCAATAGTTAGGCACATTTCTTTCTGGCTATTACATACGAATTACAAAGTCAGAGAAATTTCTGACCTGACCTACTGTCGGAGGGCTTCCCACCCAATACTTGGAATAAAGTTAAGCGATCATCTTCAAATTACACTCCACTGAAAAATAAATAAAGTTTGTTCCTCCTGGTAAAAATCTCTCCAGGTCTCCAGAAATCGGAAAGATGGGGGAAAAAACTGAATGAATTTTAAAGACACTGAAGTCCCTGACACTGTGCTGCACAGCTCAGTATTTCTTTCTTCCATATGAGACTCACTCTTCTTTTCTCACTGAGATGTAATAGGAGGTACCATTTCCCCTGGATGAATGAACCAATCAGAAATTTAGTTAGAACTGGAGACCCAAGTATCAGCCCCTGGATACTTTGCTTTCTGAAGCTCCCTCTCTGAACCTGCTGGGAAGCCCTGAGGATACACTCAGTACCTTTGCTACTCACTCATTACTGGCTTAGAAATTTGGGTCTTTTTCTACTATCTTTGGCAGGGTAATAAAATCACTTTCTAGAAATGTGACATAATATATCTATGAGGCAGGTGAGAGGAAACTAATTTGTAATCCCGTATCTTTTGTGTGTGTGTATGTGTGACAGTCTTGCTATATATTTCAGGCTAGCCTTCAACTCATTGTATAGCCTAGGCTGGCCTCAAACTTTCAGTGACCCTCCTGCCTCAGCCTCCTGAGTGCTGAGATTACAGGTGTGCACTACCAGGCCCAGCTGTAATACCATACTTCTAACTACTATAAATATTTTAATAAAATCTATTTTCCTGTGTACCTGAGCTATATAGCTATAGCTATATTCAAACTGTACAATTGTTATTCTCATTTTATCACTTAAGACAATAACATAAGTAAACATTTGCACCATTGTTATATGTAACTTTCAGAGCTAGTAGGTTTTTTTTTTTTTTTTTTTTTTTTTGAGACAAGATCTCCCTGTGCAGTTCAGGCTGCCCTTGAGCTCACTTTATAGCCCAGGCTGGGCTCAAACTCAAAACAATCCTCCTGCCTCAGCCTCCCGAGTGCTGGGATTACAGGCATGTGCCACCACACCCGGCTAAGTTTTGTTTTTATTTTGGGGGTTTTTTAGTTTTTGGCAACCTAGTTTATCACTGAGTATATTTATTCTAGTTCACTTAAATAGTCCTATGTGATTGATATTTAGGATAGTTCCTTTTTCCCCACTATTATAAAGAGTGCTACAATGTATATTTTGTGTATCCTGCAAAATTTTTCCACATTTAGAAATATTTTCTTCTGATGAACAATTAGAATAAAACTGCAGGTTTAGAGAGTTTCAGGATTTTTTTGGAGCGGGGTTTATACTACAGTATATATTCAGTGGTAGAGTTTTTAAGGCTGTAAGTGGGAGACATGGCAGTTTATAAATTAATTGTTGCTTTCGAAAGTAAGAACAGTCGGGTGTGGTGGCACACAGCTATAATCCCAGCACTTGGGAGGCTGAGGCAGGAGGATCATTGTGAGTTCAAGGCCAGCTTGAACTGTATTGTGAGATCTTGTCTCAAAAAGACAAAAAAAAAGAAAAGAACAAAAAAGCTTCTTCTTCCAACCACCAGATACTTATTATCCAGAAAGCCAGCAGAGTAAGTAAAATCCTAACTCAGTTTATAAATCCTACTCATTTCCTTTGAAATCCTAACAGTTCCTTTTCTGGAACTTGATAAACAGATTCTAGAATTTGCATGGTAGAAAGCGGCAAAAGATTGACTACGGCAGTTTTGAGAACGAGGGGAGTCTACCCTGCCAGATATCAGGGCTGGGGTGCGGCTAAATCTCAGAAAATTTTATTAAGTAGAATAAGCAAATGTTAAAAAGATATAACTCACTCAAAATTTAAAAATATACAAAACAATACTGTATGTGGATTCATACATGTGCATTTATGCTCTAAGGAGAATGAATAATGTGAACTGTCAGAAGCCTTGTTACGTTTGTATTTAAAAGTCTGCAGATGTTAGAGCTGATGTTAGAGCTGTGGTCTAAATATGTGGTCTTACGTATTTCTCCCCATATTCTTATCTGTTAGAATTATTGCATCAAATTTAAACAAACTGGATTAAACAAACTAGAATGCTGTAGGACGAAGAAGCACTGCTATTATAAAGTGTTACGCCTTCTCCGGACCCTTACACTGTGCCAGGGATTGTGAAAGGCTGTGTGTTGTGTCATTCAGCTCCGCAGCAGTGTACTCAGTCATCCAGGATGGGAATGAGCTTTTCATAATTTTGTTCAAAAATGCAGTTTTAAGGCAGACTTAGTGTGTGGCAAAATAGAAACAGCCCGCTTCCATCCGCAGGAGATCTGAGTCGGGTCGCCGAATCACCGGACACAGTGGGTTGACCACTGGTTTACGTGAACACATGTACACTGAGCCTGCCCTGCACCCAGCCGTGTCCCGCCGTCCAAGTTACGGACTTGACTGTTCACTTCCCGGACATATTTTGCTATTTAGAAAAAAGTAACAGCTGAGTCCTAGAATTTTTTCACAGTTCTTTATTAATAGTTTTTCTTTCTTTTTTTTTTTTTTTTGTTTTTCTCCGGTACCGGGAACCGAACTCATGACCTTGCACTTGCCAGGCAGGCGCTTTGCCGCTGAGCTAAACCCCCAGCCCCTATTAATAGTTTTTCTCCAAACACCTTCTGTAAAAGGTGCAAAAACTTATTGCTGATCTGAAATTCAGGCTTACCCAGGCATTTCTCTTTTGCATCACGTCACTTCTCAGGTATCTAGACGAGAACAGGGCCAATCTTCCTGACAAGCATCACAGAACTTTTGTGAGCTGAAGGCAAATGCTTTCCTCCTGGCATACTCTGTTCCGAAACCCAGGTCTTATGGATCTGGAAACCATTTCTATCGAAGGCCCAAGGAATGAGGAAAGCGGCTCTGTGTTTCCAATAAAACTGCCTGTAATCCCAACACTGGGAGGCTGAGGCAGGAGGATAGTTTCAAGCTCAGCCTGTACAACTTACATAAGCAACTTAGTAAGACCCCTTCTCAAAATAAAAAATAACAAAAGTGCTAGGGGCTGGGTACACAGCTCAGTGTGAAAGCCCTGGGTTCAGTCCCCAGTACCATAAAAGCAAAAACAGAAACACTGCCCATGTAGCCAAAGAGCACTGGAGACCCTGCTCCTAGGAGGATTCTGACCGACCATACTATTTGTACACTGTTCAGAGCCCAGTGATGAAGACTATAGTATCCCACACCCGAGAAGGGCAGAACTGAGCTGAGAGGATGATGGTGCGGGCAGCAGGAGGCCAGGGAGAGCAGCGATGGCTGGGTGAAGGCCTCTGACGCGTAGTGGGTGCATAGCAGGAGTAAAGTTGACTCTGACAGCTCTGGGAACCTTGGATCGGTCATCTTGTCAGGTACATGAGGTTTTGCTTTTTTTAAGGATCCCTGGAAAGGGAAATTCCACAGTCCCTCTGAGGTGCTTCCCTGAAGAAGGGTATTCAGAACCCAGCAAGGCTAAAAGATGATGGAAGAACTTGGAAAACAAGACCCATGTAGACAGATTTAAAACACGAATATATCTGGGCATAGTGCATACCTTTAATCCTGGAACTCTGGAAGGCTGAGGTAAGGTCAAGCCCAACCCAGGCAACTTAGTGACTTAGCAAGACCCTGCCTCAGAATAAAAAGTGGCCAGGGATGTAGCTCAGTGCAAAGGCCCTGGGTTCAACCCCCAGGATTGTCCCCGCCCCGCAAAAACCTACTGCACCAAAAACGAAAAGCCCCTGAGAAATTTGATACTGTTATTTGAGAACAGAAGACTTTTCATGGGGGGCCATAACCTGAGCCAGAGCAGACTCCCTGCAGAGCTGAGGAGGCACGCTATAAGCAAAGTAAATTTCTTAAGGGCGGGCTTTTGAGACACTGGAGTAAGTTATTGAAAATAGTCATGGAATCACCTTTGCAGAGAGCTCTGAAGAGAAAACTCCATGTCTGGGAGGGTATGGGATATTACAGGTGGGACGGGGAGTGAGCGCAGTTCTTGAGGTCCTCTCAGTTGAAAGTCTGTTCTTTCTACATTGATTATAATGAAGAGTGTTGGAATCATAGATGCATCTTTTTTTTACAGCATTTTTAGGAGAAATAATAGTGTTCTCTTTGGTTAAAGGATAATTTCATTTTTCTAATATATTATTCAATATTGTGTGACATTATTTAGATTTTCTCATTTTGTATTGGTTTCTGTACTCTAATAATAAAATGGAGAATAAATCATTTTTATCATAGACTATGATTGCAAATATATATATAATTGCAAATAATAACAAGCAAAGAATGTCTTTTAAGCCAGAATAAAACTTTAAAATAGTTAAAATGAGCTGTTAGGGCTGTGTGTGTGAGTGTTGCCAGGGATCAAACCCAGGGCCTTACACATGCTGAGCACGCCCTGTGCCACTCACATCCCCATTGGGTTAAATTTGACAGCAAATGTTTAGGGAAGCAATTACTGTTATGGTGACACTGGTGGTAGCTTTTGAAGGAGGTGACAACAGTAACTCAATGAGCAATTGCTATAGTAGAGACTGCTAAACGTTGCAGGGATTATCTCCTTTTTTCCTTATAAAACCCAGTGAAGTTTTAGTAATTAAAGGGGGGGAGGTACTTATACATATGATGACGT